TCACTGAGGAGGGGGGCGTCCCCATCCAGAGCGGAGAACAGAGCAAGGTCTTCGAAGAGGAGTCTGGGGGCGCAGGCCGTTTGGGCCGCGTGTGTGAGCAGCCCCGACCAGCGAGCGATGTATGCTTGCGCTGTTGCTTGTCGCAGTGGTGCTGGCACGGCTTTGCTATGGGCATGCGGCATGAACCAATGACCGGATGAAGGTCGCAGCTTCCCCGCTCCATCGCCCCCCACTATGACCACCACCAGTTGACATCGTCCCCCATGAAGGAGTTCTGGGTACGTTCCTTCCTTTGCCCTGCGAGCATCTCCCAAAGCTGCCCCTGTGTATTCCCCTCGCCGTTGTCGAGGCTGGCCTCTGCTGGTGAGGGCAGAGACCAACGTGGTGTCGAGGGCCAATTGGGCCCCATGGTGCGAAGATGTGCGAAGGCAGACCGTTGGCGATGACTTCGATGCGCTTACTGTCAAAATCTTGAACTGCTGGAACGTTCAAGTCTGAAAGGAGTGTGTGCGTGGTTACCCTGGCCCCCGCTTCCCTGCATACTCGAGCTGCTGCTCGTTCAAGTGCCCCCCCACGGCTCCGGCAGGTGATGCTATCTCCAGGGCTTGAAGTGCTGTAGCCATGAAAGAGACCATTTGTTCCGCCCTTCCATTTCAAGGATATGCAGATGTCTTCATGTGAGGCCGAGTAAGAAACCAAATCTTTCAGCACTGTCATACTCTTCACTGTAGGCCGTGTTGCGTGAGTTGACAAATGCTTCACTATGTGCTGGCAGTGCGGCAAGTCACGGGCCAAATACAAAAGTATACCAACGCATGTTCTGAAGGGCTTGCAGTTTCTGGAGAAACTTCACCAGTTCAATCAACCTGATCCATGTCAGAGTGTCCTGGGGTTTTCTTGTTTTGAAGTTCACGATTCAGCCCAAACAAACTGCACAACTGCTCAACGTGTTTGCGATGCGTCTCAATGGTGATCCTGTCATCATGCTGCAAAGTCATGCGCCTTTTTCAAGATGCTAACTTCATCACCTGGCTTTTCCATGATTTGGGTGGCAACTTGATAACGCTGTTGCAAACATGTCACCAACTTTTGTAAGACAAACTCACGACGTCCAACAACCAAGATGTCATCAACGTGAATGAGCACAAAGCAACTGCTGTCAGCTGCCTACAGGCTGCATGGATAGGGGATGTGCTGACTCATCCCAAGTTTTTCACAAAGCACCTTGGCTGGTGCCACAATAGGCTGCCATCACGTTGTCTTGGCAGAAAACGCCCCAAATCCTACTGAATTTCACGCCCGTCGGCCAGCTTGCATGTCACCATTGTTGGTGTTTTCTGTTTGACAGTAAGGAATGCATCTTTCACATCGATGCTGGCCATCACTGACTGAGCATGTTCTTTCATATCCAGGTACATCACAGGCAACAACCTAGCAGCAATTGAACTGCTTGCGGGGAAAATAAACTGTCGCGTGCAACGTCCATCCATGCAAATTCATGAGCAACAAAACGAGATCGCCGCAGCCAAATCTGCTGTCCATCCTTGTTCACCTCCTCACGCCAAGTCCTGACAAACCTGGTAGACAACTGCTTGGCATCTAATGGCATTGTTGTTGCATCAGTCAGGACTGCCATCTTTGTCAAACGTTGAATTTCCAGTGAACGTGCCTAGGCGTCCAATCTTTGCAACTCAGCATCATCCAGTGAAGGTTCATGTTTGCTGAAAGGAAAAGTCAGCTGGCTGATAAGCGCTTCATCATCAACCCAGTCACCAGTGTTATAGAGCTTATCGGTTTCAAAGTTCATCTCGTAAACTTCAAGCTTATCTAACTCATCATCTTTGAACGCAAATGCAGCTGTCTCATCTTCATGTTCGTATACAAGTTCAGATCTGTACTGGTGACCTGATTGAGGTTTCCCTCGTTGGGGCTGCTGTCACGTTTTGGAGTCTTTGGAACGTTTTCCCCCAGCAGGGGTATCATCAGTCAGAAAAGTAGATTCCAACATTGGAAAGCCCTTGCCAGCAAACCTGGTCTTCTTTGGTGAATCAACTTGCGGTTTTTCATCTGCACGTTTCGGTTCATGTGGGTCAGTTGCAACATCCATTGCAGCTTCTGGAGAGGTGGCAGCTGCATTTGAAGGATCCGGTAGGGGTTCTGACCCACCGCCTCAGCTGATTGCTCAACGTCCCCCTCTGGATGTTGTACTGCGTACCTATGGACATGTATTGCTTCCAGGTCGGTCACTGGGGGCATGCCTGAACCAACACGTGGCTGACCCACACGCTTGTTGTAAATCAACTTGTTTCCTAAAGCTGCATGTCCAAACTCCCATGGCCAACTTTCCAAATCACCTAGACGATCCAGTTTGAAAGGGTTTGTTGTGCGCCTGATGCTCCTTGTAACGAAAACTCCAGCTGCTGTGCCTACAATGTGCTGGTCACTTGACATTGTTTTGCCAAACCAAACGCTATGCTGCCAACGTGGTCCAGCCTTCAAACCAGTTCTGAGGTACCTGAGAATCTCCCCCCATACATTGCAAACTTTCCAGAGTAGGATCTATCCATTCCACGCTCTAATGGTGTCAAACCTCAAAAACTGTGAAATGGTTGCGAAGCCATGACGCATGAAACAATGCCCAGCAGTAGGCTGGATGAGTGCACCCAAAAATGATGAGTCCAGTTGCAACCTGATCTTCAATTTGTTGAACACAAGCAAACCTGCACGTGAACTGATTTGTTGCACCGTGCTCTCAGCTGCTCCATTGCTTTGATGTTCTCCTACTACTGGGGCACTTTCATCATGCAGTGTGATGCCAAGAGCTCGACATGTCTCTTCACACTGTCGACAACTGCCAAGATTGCTGGCTCACGGCAAGTTCAGGTGCTGAGTGTAAACAATAAAACGTGTAACCTCAGTCACCAAGCGCTGGAGAAACTTGGCACCCTTTTGTGGTGTAGGCACTGCATGCATGAACTTGGTGGCACGGTCGTGCATGAACAAACCAGTCTGTTTGTCATATTCATCATCCATGCGGCTGCAGTACCCAAAATCCAAAGAAATCAAAGAATGTCCACCGTTCTCATGGCTGCTGGCTGGATGGGGGTCCTGTCGAGACGTGTAACGTGTGCGCAAAGAACACCAGCTTTTGAAAGGCTCATGAGTAAGAGTCAGTAAGAGCATGGTTGTCAACTTCCTTCTGACTTGGTTCATCAGGTCGTGTCCACTGGGTTCACGTTCAATCTCCTTGTTCAAACGCACTTCAGCTCCATGTGCAGCAAGTAAGGCCTGGGCCTTCACATGTTCAACCATTCTTTGCAAACACTTTGATTTTCCACCCCTTGTAGACAAAACCAACGCACTGCAACCTGCACGTAACACTTTGAGAGTGCAACTTGCAGTCATAGTCATGCCATCAACAACAATTGTCTCTTCATCAGCTGTAAACGGCACAATGCGATCTTCTGGAAAGGGTTCTCCATCCTCTTTCTCCACCGGTGCCTCGATGGGTTGAATGTCGGGGGCAATGTTTGCCTCATATTGTCCATCATCAGCCTCAAAGTTAGCAGGGTTTGCAGTTGATGTGTCATGCATGAAGAAACCCAAGTGCTAATATTTCATCGCGTATTTGTGGGCCGACGTGATGATCTTAATCACCGTGTCTGGAAACAATATCTCCTCCTCCAAATTGTGTTGAGTACCAGCTATGGCCTCACAGTAGTCATCGAAATCCCAACCTGAGCCTTCTCGAAAAACCAAAGTTGTCCGTAGCCACACAAGTTCATCGCTGGGACACAAAGTTGTGTTCACATGCTGTGGGCGCAGTCTTGGTTGCAAAAAGGTGAGGACTGATACGGTTCCAACCTGGGGTCAAACAACGTAGCACCATGCCTAGCTGCAAAACTCTCACTGCCTATTGATCATCATTGGGCTTTTGTTGAGAAACGATTGAGACTTGGCCTCGAGCGCATCAGGAATTGTTTCTGAACATAGCTGCAATCTTCATGTCATCCCTCACCAAGGGGGGGAACCATCGATATGCATGATGTTCTATCCAGCACGCCAACACTGCCAAGTGACAAAAGTGGACACGTGACATCACTAACAATGAATCTCTCCTTGAAGGTTATATTACCATTGGCCAACCTTGTGGGTTGCACTGTGAGAGGCGCTCCTTGTGCATCAACATAGCATGTGTCAACTGCAGGTCCTTCCACACCAACATGACCATACTTCACAGGAAGTGCACTTGTATCAGCGCCATAGTCCGGCATGACGTCACATACACTCATGCCATCATCAAGTGAATAGGCATTGCTTATTGCTCTCACATGTTGATTCGTGGATGGGCTGAGGGTCCAATGAAGGCGCGAGGAAAAAATCGTCACCATCAGTTGCTGACATGTCAAATTCACGCAGTTCTGTAACAACACGTAAACCGCATGAAGTGCTGCATGGAGAAGATGGACATGAATGCAACGTCAAATCTGCAAAGTGGCTGACACTGAAGTTGCCCTGAGCAGTAACCAACCTAATGGTTGGAGAACCTGAACCAGTGGTCATGCTTGAAGTGGAGTATGCTGTCTCAGGTTTGGGTTCCTGACCATCAGTTACAACGCCGCCCTGTTGCTGATCAGCCTTTCGTTTGTGACAATCACGCTGCCCGTGTCCACTCTTCCCACAATACGCGCCGCAAGTATTGGACTCAGACGTGGGTTTCTGTTGTGAAGCATTGCCATAGCCGTTTGGACTCCTGGCCTTTGCCAGAATCATAGCCTTTGCCTTTGCTCTTGCCTTTGTTTCCACCATAGCCATAGCCCTTCTGCTTTCCTTTGCTTTTATCAGATCCCTTACCCTTTTGCCTTTCCCCTTGTTCTGAAGAAAACTGACTTCCATTGCGGCAGGGCTACCAGCTGTAGCCGAGGCATATGAAGTCACAACACCGCATTCAGCCAAGATCTTGTCCTTGGTCCATGAGCTAGAAGCGCATTCATAAGCAATCACACGGTCTCGAACCTGCTGGTGCCCAGTTGAATGTGCTGCTGAACGTGGTGTGGCAAACACCGTACAAATGTGGTCAGCAAAATGTCTTCAGCAATGTTCACACCTGCAATCTTGTCGTGCTCATCACCCAACGGCTTTGTAAACGCAGGATGGCCCATGATGGCTGAAAGGATTGCCATGCTTCTCACCTTTGTCTTTGGTGCATAAAGGCTGCGCAGCTGCCTCCAAACCTGAAGGCCGTTTGAATTGGGTCTCTGCCTCAAAAGCCTTAAAGGCCGGCTCTTCAAAATTCCAGCTGAAATTGCATACAACTTGAATGACATGTTTGTGATGGCGAAACCCTCAGGCGTCTCAGAAAACGTCACGGGCAACTCTGTGCGCTCCTCCACGTCATTCAAATTTGAACTGTAACCTGGGTCAGCAAAACAAAGCCGCTGCCGAAATGAAAATGCAAAATCAACCCAATTGTTCTGGTCCTCGGATGAGGTGATTGATCCAAACTCCTTTGGAACCTGTACGGTTTTATTGTTTCTGCAAAGCCTCCTGGTCTGTTCTTTGAGGCCTCGCGTAAGGTCACTGCAGTGTCAGAAGCAGCCTGCGCTGCCTGCACAGATGCCAAAATTAGTTGAGCCTCTGTTGGCACACCACCACTACCAGTCGCCATAGCGCCAACTGTCCAACCACTGCAAACTGCAAATGACTGTAAAATGCCAAAGGCCACCCAACTGTAAAACCAGTCCAGCAATGACCCAAAAGATCTTGAAGCAACAGTGAAACCGCCAGTCCAGAAATTGTGACCTAATTGCACCTCCACCTGAAAACTAAGCAAATGCGCCAAATGTCACCCAGTAAGCAGCAACGAAACTATGGCTGCCGCCCGTGGGGTAAGGGTCCTGCCCCAGAGTCGTGGGATAAGGGTCCAGTCCCACTTTTTGGAGCTCACCACGACTCGACAGTACGTGGATCACGGCTTCGCTACCATGATTGTTTCGTTTGATGCAAAAGCGTCTCGGATATACACTTCTCGATTTGTGCATGTTGCGCAGCAAAGAAACTGAACATGACAGCTAAATTTTACATGTATGAACAGGAGTGCAAAAGGGGTAAAATTTAAACACTAGACGGAGGAGGAACAGTACGACTGGGAAGATGTAGAAGATTCCAGCACAATTTGAAGCAGGCCATCAAGTCCTATGAGGCAGAGGGCTATGTCTAGCAGGCCCTGTCCACGGTCGCGGATCGACCAGGGCCACCGATTGACGTCTTTGAGCTTTTTAGTGGGTCTTCAAAGTTCATAACAGTTAAGCGCTTTACACCTTGGTTTATCATCATGTGCTTGGATTGTCAATTTTGGAACCTTTTCAACATAAACCTGAACTACCAACACCGGCTTGATCTCCTACAGGAGCTCCAAGCCGAGGAATTGCCTTTGGTTGAACTTGCTTGCGAGTTGGCCATCCTCCAGATGAAGAACGGTCGTTTCTTCTTGATGGGGAACCGACAGCGGTCACAGCTTTGGAAGTTGCCTTGCGTCCTTGAGGTGGAAGCGATGCCTTCAGTTTGGAAGACTACATTGGACATTTTGGAGCTTTTGGTGCAACAGTTTAGGGGCATCGAGTGGCAAAACAAATGACCTTCCTCAGCAACATTCCTGACCCCGACCAGGTGATCAACAAACGCCTGAGCTCTGAGGAGAAGCACGCATGTACACCACTTCAGGGGAAGCTCAGACGACCGAGCCAAGAATACCCCGATCAGCTGGTGACGGTGATGTTGAAACACATGAAACAGATCGTTCATTTGCATGAACCTCAACGCTTTGCGTTTCAACATGTTTTAGCAATTGCCCAACCAACCACCAGTCTTTCAGCCTGGAACGACCTTGTTGACCACATCAGCTCAGCGTTTGAGAGATCGAGCAAGAGACCCTCCAACATTGACGTTGGTCATGTCGCAAGACTACACATCAACCTTAGGCATCCTTCGCCACAAGGTTTGACCCGCATGGTAGCTTACTATGGTGGAGCACCGTCATTTATCACAACATGCATCCAACATTTGAGATGCTCAACATGTGACAGGTTGAAAAACCCACAACAACCACGACCAACTACCATGCCGAAGTTCATCGCTGGTCAATTTGGCGATGATATCCAAGGTGGCATTTTCTACGTGCGACTTCCCTCAACAGAGGCTATTCCAATCTTAGGCCTGGTGGATTAAGCAACGGGGTTTCATCAAGCTGCAATTTGCCAGACCCGCAACTCAGCTCAGACCTAGCAAGATCCTGATGCAATGCTGGCTTTGACCTTTTGGGTTTCCCTTCAAGCTGTTCCTCGGCCCCGACACAACCTTTCGGGGCGATTTCCAGTCTCAGGTCGAACACCTGGGCATCATTTGTGACTTTTGTCCAGCAGAGTCTCATTGGATGATTGGAATAGTGGAACGTCGAAACAGCATCCTGAGATGCGTGCTTGAGAAGTTTGTTGACCAATTTGCCGTCTACGACGTGGAGATGCTAGAGCACATTCTTCCACCAGCACTACATGCAGTGAACTGGGAGAACAGCATATCAAGCAGTTTTTGGAAAAAAATACGACTACCGGGTGGAGTCCTGAATGACGACATTGGCATCACCAACAATGCCTCAGCCACTGATTCCTAGATCATCCGCAGCGAGGCCCAGAAGCATCTCATCGACCTCAACGTCAACAATTCCGACGAGCATTGCTCAGGAAAACAAGATTGACCCAGTTTCCAGATCTACGGCCAGGGCAAAATTGTGCCTATTGGAGGTGGCAACGCGAAGGGGCCAGAAGAAACGCAGCGGATGGATCATAGCACGATTCCTGTCTTGGGATCCTGCCTCACCAACGAAGCTTGCCTGGATTCAGACTGGAACCTCCACAACACTGGTTTCAGCAGAACAGCTACGTACAGCCATGGGCTCTGAACAGTGGAACCCAAGCCCAGATGACATCAAAGCCCTCAAGTCCGGCATCAAGTCTTTCCATGACTACCTGGTGGAGGACGAAGTCGGACCACCAGCACCAGACCAACCAATCGATGACATCATCAACACAGAAACCATTGAGCAACGACTTGGTCTCACAACGCTGATGCCCACAATTCCAGCATTACCACCGCTGGCACCAGCGACACCCACACCACCACCACAAGCAACCACTACCAATACCCAGGGCCCGACCATTCAACTCAACCTACAACAAAGTTCAACATACAAGCAAACCAACATTTATCAACGTTTTGGCGCACCGCCAACCACGACAACTTACACTCACCACTACGGCAGTCAACACAACCACACCAGCATTACGACCGCCAGGGCGCTCACGATCCCCTCTACCACCAACACGTTGATTGGCAGACAAGGCAGCATCAAGTTCATCAGCACCCCAGTCACTTGAACAACAAGTTGGCGAAGATATGCCACCAGGTTCAGTACAACCAGAGCCATCTTTCCGACAACAAGCACCAACGAAACCCGCAGAGCGACTGCAGGCCACTACGCCTGACCAGTCTCAGCCCCGGGATGTCCTACCTCATTCATCACCACCTTCAGACACAACACCCAGACAACCTACTTTACAACAACCACCACAACCTTCTTCATTACGACAATCAGTCCCAATGATCGACCTCACGGGTCCATATCAACAACAACACGTTTCACAAGGCATTTTGCCGACACAGCAGCAGGGCACTTTGCCCACCGCCGAAGCAGTAGCAAGCACCTTGCCACACAGCAGAAGCAGCAGATGCACACATGACAGGCGACGAACCAGTAATACTACCACAAAAGCGACCTTTTGAGCCAATGTGCACCTTGCAAGTTGATTCAAGCAACATAGAACGAACGTCACCTTGGACAGATGTGTCCCCAGACATTGGGTACGGCCCCCAACAACAAGCATATTTCCGAGCATATGCAGCAACACAGCAAAGAGCAACAGATGTACAGAACACTGTCAAGGATGGCAATGAATCAGATACAACGGCACCATCTGATTCAGAAGGCGAACAGCAAGCAACCACCACCCAGCACAACGCCTCACACGACAAAAGGCCAAACAAGTCGACAGGGAACTTCCCTGGCGTGAGATTTGGGCGATGCCAAAGGCCCACATTCAGAAGTTCCTGGCTGCCATTGAAAAAGAAGCAAACTCCTGGAGCGAGTGGGGACCTATCAAACCACTCACTGAAGAAGAAATCGCTAAGATCAAGTCAGACCCCAAGCTCCGACGGAGAATTCTGAGAAGTAGGGCAGCCTATCGGGACAAGAACCGAGGACAAGGAAATGAAACCCAAATGTCGCATCGTTGCCCTTGGACACTGCGATCCAGACCAAACAATCACCAGGCCGCACAACAGAACACGTTATGTATGCCCTAGCAGTGGCTGGCCTTAATGGTGAGCTTGGAAGGAATTCACTGAGATGGAAGTGTTGGTTTGGCGATGCAGCGCCTGCCTTCCTTCAACCTGATTCAGAGAGGCAACTTCCTCTTTACATGGCCCGACCACGAGATCCACTTATCGATCTCACTCCCTTTTGGAAAACCGATCTCTATCAGTTTGCGGGAATATTCATGGGCTTCCCAATGCACCACACTTGTGGTGTCAAGAAGTCAAAGGCCGACTCCGTGGCATTGGATACAGACAACATGACTTTGACAAAATGATGCTTTGCAAGTATGACAGCGACGACAATCTCCAGTCAGCTGTCATGCTACGTTGAAGACTTTCTGGGAATCCATAGACATGACTATGACGCCAAGGGGCTCCACGATTTAGGGGCGAATTTTGCTACTTTGACCCAGGTGTTGCACCAAGAATGAGTCCGGCAGGTTTGTTTTGAAGATCGCGGTAAACAAATTTCTTGAGACTGTGGACCCCTATGTTCCCCCAAAGGGTCGGATGCAGAAACCACCGATCTTGACAGCTGAAGAACGTAAAGAGTTCCGGGGCATTGCTGGCTTCTTGCAATGGCTTGGATCTCAAGCTCGTCCCGACCTATGCCCAGCAATTTCATTGAGCAACCATGGCCAGAGCACCGCGATCCATGATCTGAAGACCTTGGCAGAGACGCTGCAGTTCGCTAAGGACACTCATGAGTATGGGTTCATTGTTCAGGATTCAGGATGTCCCCGTGAATGAGAATTCCGTCATCCTGACCTACACAGATGCTTCGTGGGGAAATTCCGGACGCTCATCATCGCAGATGGGCATTCTCATCAAATTGACGACTCCTGATGTCACCAGCAAAAGCCTGCGAAAGTGATGTTGATGGATTGGCAATCGGCAAGATCACCTCGAGTTTGTCGAAGCACCGTAGCCGCTGAAGCCTCAGCCGCAGATGAGGGATCAGACAGGGCCACCTTTGTCAATATGATGCTCTCTGAGGTGCTCTACAATGAAGAAGCACACAAAGTTGGATATGAGCTAGACAACCTCCAGGCCACCGACTCCAAGTCCTTGTGTGATGCAATCATAGCTGCTAACCCGAACCAGACAGATAAGCGAAGCCTGGCGAATGTTCGAGCCATCCAAGACGTGATCACGCCTAAGCAGACACGTTGGGTACCGACACGTCTGCTGTACGCAGGTGATTTCACGAAGTTGAACGCAACACTTCGTTTGAATCTC